TCTTTCCAAGGAATTGTGTTGAAGCCCAATTTCTGGATGCTCTCGAAGCAAAGACAGTGAATACGCAAGGTCCTGAACCTGGTGTCTCCCAGGAGGTCCAAGTACTCTTGGTGAACATTGTCCCCATGGACCGCATGCAAGTAAGGGATGTCTTTGGCAAAGGGCAGAAGGAGCCCAATGATTCTCTCTGCCCAGCGGTCTCTGAGGTGGAGTTCTAGCTTCCTTTGGGTTGTAGCCGACTCTTCCTTGAGTCGTCCAGGCTTCCAGTGCCTCCATTTGGCCTCCACAATGGCCATTATGGGAGGCCGTGCATGAAAGGCTCGCCATCTAGCCCGGTCCATGCTTTCCTGTTGCTGTTGAAAGGGTGTGTGGAAGGCTGAATCTGGTGCACCCGCAATCAAAGTGAAGAGGCTAAAACATGCATCATAGGTCCTGTCTCTCTCCTCTGGGGGCGCTGGTTGTGGCACCCGGTTCATGCAGTCCGCAACAAAGTCTTCCATCCAGGGCGTGGTAGCCACCATCGTGGAGTTACTGTGAGCCACATTCATTGGGTCGACGTCATCGCTGGGGTGTACCCGAGAGGTCCAGATTCCCCCATCCATGGCCTCCGGATGGTCCGGTGGCACTTGTTGCATGCAGAGCTGCATGAACAACTCCCCCTCTGTCTGGGTGGGGAAAATACCATGGTCCAGCAGGCTGTCTCGCATGTGTTCAGGGAGACGAACCATTGCCAGGCCAAAAGGTGTTCTACGCACAAGATCGGGTTCCATGATGTCCCGACTCACTATGGCCAAACCTGGCCCAAAAAGGGTACTGCGGGTGTGCGGAGCACTAACACATGAAAAGAGCAAGCTGAAAGAACAAACACTGAAGAACAAGGGGAAACCGTCAAAGTTGCAACTGGACCAGAGCAAGAGCAAGCCACGATAACATCAGTCACATCAGCGTAATGGGCGAAGCCCGAAAGGATACCAATGACATCAAACCAAGGAAAAACCTGTAGTGTTAACATCGCAACATGCCGTAAATGACATTGAGGCAGCCACATGCAGGTTTCCCTTTTTCGCTGTGTGAGCTGGCATCCCAGCGGTCTGGCCCCTGTCTTGGCCCTTGTCGTGGTGCGCAACCAATGCTATTCATACAAAAAAGGAAGGTGTCTGCAGAACCGAGTGGTGACGTTGGTGCAAGACGCTACCAGGCCACCAGGTCAGTAAAACAGCCCCTCGCAAACACTCAGCTCTCAGGCCGGCTGGACTCTGCTCGCTGCCAGCGCATTGATCTTCTGAAGGCCTTCGAGGTCCGGGTTGCTCAAAAGGACCGACCAAATGGCGTTGGAAACATTGCCATTTCCATTCTGGCAGGAAAACTTCAAGCGCTGGGTGTGGTCAGGGTCCACTTCCAAGGCCACATCTCGCGGGGCCGCAGTCGGCTCCACTCGCTTGTAATACTCAAGCCTGGACTTCACCCAGCTGTTGTACAGCTGTTGAGGTGGCTCGTCCAAAATCAATTGGAGGTTGACTTTGGCTCCCCGGTGCTCTCCAATCAATTGGACAAAGCGGGAAGCTCCTCTCGCTTGTCGCCAAAAGCCCTGGCAGGCCTTGCAAACCCAGCCTCCACGAGTCACTCCAGCCTCTTTCGTCTTCAGTTCCCAGGGACTGATACTGCTGAGGATGAGCCCGCAATCGGTGCGGCCCCAAAAGGCATGGACTCCACGGTGGCCATAGTGCTCCCGCTTGTACTTGGGGCTGCATATGGAGACCACATTTTCCACGGAGAGCTCGGGGTACTTATCGGTGCCCGAAGCTACCGTAGTCGCCCGCAGAGCCTCCGGCTCCAGTGCCGTCTTCAAGAAGCCATCAATCTCTGCCTGGGAGTAGCCCAGACGCCAATAGAAGCTCTCCGCCTTCTCATGGGGGACCAGGGCAACCCACCATAGCTCACAGTTGCACCTCCAGGCGACTTGCACTTGGACCATGCTGTGGGCCCCCAGAGTGGCTGACAGTGCCTGGAAAACGTCCGGGAGCTGCCTGAAAGCATCCAAAGGCAAGGTGATGCGCTCGTCACACACCGCTCGAAAACGGAGCTGCTCCTTTGTGTCCTGGATGTCTTGCTCGGGCAAGTCCAAGACCACCGCTGGGGTTCTGGCTAAGAAGACCGAAGCAGCCAAAAAGCTGCCAATTTCTTTGTAAAGCAGCCTGATCTCGTGTTGTGATTGGGGAAACCGGAGGCCCACACTAGTGAGGAAGGACTTGATCTCGGAAGTCCTCTGCCGGTGTGCCGCCAACTCTGCCACCTTCTTCTGGCGGATGCCTTCTCCCTGCCCTCGGCGCATGGATTTGATGATCAGAGGCATGCCACACCAAGCCTGGTAGATCTCTTTGAACGTCCAGGACTGTCCAAACATCGTGATCATGGAGGGGAGATCCCATGACTGCACCCTTCGAACCAGGTGGGTATCGTCGGTGCCAGAAGCTACCGCCGTCCCCGGGGCCCAAAAGAAGCCAATGATCTTGTCCAGGTCGGGTCGCTTGCCATCGGCAATCTGCTGCAGGACCACCTGTTCCGTGTAGGTTCTGGGCGTGTAGAAGGAGGTGCCCAGCGGGTTTGTCCTGAGCTCCAAAGCCAAGACCTCAGTCGTAGGTGCAGGTTTCGCCCAGGCAGGTGCCGTGAGCGGGCCCTGTCGCAGTTCCCACTCTCCGCCCCAGGCTCTGACTTCACCTTTGTGGTACTGCAAGATGGAGTCAAGGATTGCGTACTTGCGTTCAAGGCTGTCAGGCGGAAGGAGTCGTGCTAACTGGGCCTCTTGGGAAGATACCGTCTCCTTCCCCATGGTGTACATGTCGAGTTGGGTTTTTGGGAACTCCGTCATGAGGCGGTCCTGGGAGAGCGGAGGCCTATTGTCCTTGATGAGCTCCTTCATGCGAAGGTAGGGTTGTTTGAGGGCCTCCATGTCAAACTGTTCAGGTCCTTGTGGTCCCATGGCCGGCGCGAAGACATTGCTCTGCCACGCCTCTTGCAGAGTTGGGGTCCAAAGTGAGAAGGGCGCCACGTCGATGGGCTTGAGAGCCTTGCGGCGGTCTCTGAACTCCGTGTCAAGGGCCTTGTTGGCAGCCGCCGCTTTGTCCTGTGTTGTCTGTGCTGCCACCAAAGCTTCATAAGAGGAAGTGAGACCACTTTCTTCGTGTTTTCGCTTGAGGTAGGACCGAAACTGCTGGAGGTCAGCGTGGCGAAGAATTTTGGCACTGACCGGATTCTGGGTTTCCTGCGCACCCTGCTGGATGGCAGTCAAGGTGTGTAGCTCATCCTCCATCGCCACAGTCTCTTGCTGATGCTGAATCTCCTTCTTCCTCTTTTTGGCCTCCTGTGCCGCTTCTGTGAGTTCTTCTTCTGGTGTTGCCAGCAAGTCAGCCTTGAAGCGCATCAGTTCAATAGTCTTCGGATGAAAGATCACCGCAGTTTGAGTAGGGTCTCGATCATCCATAGTGGGGGGGCGCACGCCATCTGGATGAAAGATCTCGTCCTGCCCGAAGGCCACCACGTGTTGCTGCAGTGTCAGGCGCTGGGAGGCAGGCACTTGCTCCGAAAAGCTGACCAACCCCATACCGGCGCCCGAAGCTGCCGCAGGGGGAGGTCGGCCCAGATCGCCCACTTCCACAAAGCCCGCGGCCTTAGTGACCTTAGAGTCTGTTGGGACCCAAGTTGGTCCAGCCTCAGTAAGCCTCAGTTGCCAGGACTGGCCGGCCACCTCAATCACCGACAAAGGTGTCACTGACAGGTCAACAGGCTGAGAGCCTTGGCAAAGCAAACATTTGGATAACTTCCCCCACGGTGCACTGCAATCAGAACAGACTAATTGCGGAGAAGTTCCGGGGTCCGTCTCTTTCAAATTCACCATGGAGCCCCCACGCTGCGTAGTGTGCCGGAGTTTCAACATCTGTGTGTGGACAGCCTCGCGCTTCGAGATGTGATACACCTCTGCGATCTTGACCACCAAGGGTGCCGTCCATGGAGAACTGCGGAAAGCGTCCAACAGGGAACGCAGCTCACCATGCGTAATGTCTCTGAAGTACTTGGCAGCAGAGTGAGGTAGGGCCGGAACCAAGGGTGCCCAGCCTTCGATGGTGAAGGTCTCTGTGGTCTGATCCACGTGGAGCGTCAACGTCTCCTTCTCTAAGGTCTGTGGTGTCTGAGCTGGAGTCGGTGCCTCAGCCTGGACGAACCCCGACGGAGGTTTCACACTTGACGCTGCCACACCTGTCTCCGGCTTGGGTTCCAAGCCCAAGTTTTCCATCACTTTCTCCATCTCATGGAGCTGCGAAGCCAGTGTCTCCTTGGTGATGGCGGGATCATCTTCAAACTCTGTCGTAACCTCGGCCGGCGCAGCCTCAGTCACCGGTGTGGAAAGCAACATGTAATCGTCCCCTGCATCCATTTCTGTTCCAATCAACGAGAAGGAGCCCACGGTGCCAGTCTCACTTGCTACTGGACTAGAAGCCGCCATGAGCAAGACAAGAAGATCAGAACGTCTTTTCGAAAGTATTGGATCACAGGGGGAACAGCTTGAGCCAAAATGGCATAGCCATTTTGGCAACTATATCGTCAACACATTACTTGCTCTCCACAAGTTCCAAGCAAAGAAACAAATATCCATAATATTCCCACCAACATGTTATATCACTTTATACTTGTAACGGCACCTCCAAATATCTGCCCTCACTGAGCAGCGAAGCAGCTCTTGACTTCGTGGCAAATCTGTGGATGATTTGCCAGCTGCACATGCGCATGTTGAATCTTTGTTGCTTGAAATCCCCTATATATAAATGTTCTCGCTTGTTGCTGAAAATACATATATATATAATTATATATATATAATCATATATATATATAAATAAAATATAAAATATATTATATAATATATACACGCTTAGTTTTGCTAAAAGATCACAGTTTACAAAGAATTGCAGCCTTCCCCGACTTCACTATGCAGGGCTGCCGAGAGCCTCCGTCGAGAGAGGGCTAGATCTACTTCGTCTCTTCGAAATGTGGTATCACCTGCAGCTTCTGGAAAGGGGGGAATGGCAAAGGGACCCATAGGACCATAGGACATATCTTACCCAATAGGAACACCCACCAAAAACATCAAAAACCATTTCCAATTTCAGAAATTTACCTTTAAGACCATTTTGGGGGAGATTTCATAGTTTTCCAGCAAGGTCGAATGCCCCTTCTCGAAGGGGCTAAACATGGACACAGCATGGACAAACAAGGAACCGCTGAAATTGCCGCGGTGACTATTTAAGGCCACACAGCATAAGGTGATACAAAGCGGCCCACTATTTCTGAAGTCTGGCAACTACCCTATTTCATTCAGAGATTCCATAACGCATTATGATCATGATGAATATCATGATAATCCTCAATATCAACCAACAGGGGTTCTGAACACTGCTCATACGGGTTTGTCTGAAAAAAGGGGGGATCAAATCTGGGTAAATTATAATATTTCACTAACCTGATTTTCAGGGCCATAAAAGGGGATGATTTCCCGAATCCTAACCATGATTCCAGGGTTCGGGAGAACAGGGTTCGGTCGTGATCAAATTTACCCAGAATCATCAAACAAAATGCGGGATTTTTCAACTAACCATGGAGCTGATTGCCGGAGGCTACATGGAATTGTCCAACAAAATATACACCAATTTTTCCACGGGTAGATCACAAAAAAAATCCATATTCAATTGGGGAGTATATGGGAGTATTCTCCATTCTCATACATCTTGTGAGTTGTTTCTCTCATTGTATCCCACTATATCCTATTTGATATAAGGGCCCTTGGTGGGGACACTGGAATATACTGGAATATATATATATAATTATATATAGATATATAATTTATTTGTTCCTGGGACATTCACATCCATGTATTTTGATGAGTTTTTGAATTGTTCCATGCTGTTCTCACAAGGATAATTTCGGATTCGGCCCCAAGTGTCAAAATCTTGGAAACTTATGCCTGGCAGCAACACGTTTTCAGACCATACAAGGTGGTGCCCCAGTTCGTTAGCTAAGTTGGTGCAAATAACTCCCATTTGCCTATGGTTTATGGCAGATATAACTATAGTTTTCATGGGGTTTATAAACCAACTTATAACTGGGGGGCACCATCCTGTACAATTTCATGGTTTTTCAGATCAAAACATTGATGGCATCCCCCCCTTCGCAATGAAAGCCATAATCATCCCCTTAAAGGGGACGTCGATAAAACCGGTTGAAACAACTGGTAAATGTCCTAAAACAAATCCCATCACCCAACCACTGGATTTTTATCATGTCCAAGAAATACCTGAAAAAGTGATGTTCAAAATTCCAAAAACAGGACATTTACCAACCTGTGTTTCAATACTCAACTGATCGAATTTAACTTGGATGAGTTGGGGCTACACTCCCATGGATTGGACACCTTCAGAAATGAGGATGCTTGGGGTAACCCGTGGAGGTCGTGCGCCCGAAGATGAAGTCAGTACATAAACGAAGTGCTGAGCCATTTTCATCGTCACCTGTGGATGCATGTGGATACAGCATGATACAACCAACAAATTCTGGGAACAATAAAACCAAGAATGTTAAAAGAGACAAACCATGGATGACATAGCTGCAGAAATGATTCTGAAAAATGTCCCGGGCCAAAATATTCCAACACAGGAACGGCCACGCTTGCCTTTCAGCCGGCAATGCTTTGTTGCTGAGCCCTTGGTGTTGGCTGTACCGCAACTAGCTTAGCCTCACTGACTCTTGCTGAAATCTTGCTCTGTGAAGAACACCTTTTCAACCACATCGCAACCGATGCCTTTCGCCGCACATCCACAGCCGGCTGGTCGAGCCAAATGTGCAGCTACTCCCCAATCTGTTTTGAAATGGCTGAACTGGCTTCGGCAGAATCCGCATCAGGAACCAAGATGTTCACCCGATTTTTGCTGGAGACTCTCCAAGATGATCATCATTCAACTGAACATTGCTGAAAGTGGGGCCATTCGGCCATGATTCCACGCATCACCATCGACGTCACGACAGCACTGGGCCACCTCACTGCCCACGGTCTTCGGCAAAGATGCGAAATAAAGCTCCTGGGCCTTGGGAGTTGGCGCCATGTCCGGTGCTGGCGTCCCCATCACTTCGAATAACTTACCATCTGGTAAACTAACAGTTTTCTATGGAAAATCCGCATTTTTAATGGGCAAATCAACTATTTCTATGGTGTATTTTCAATAGCAAACTGTTAAATTACCAGAGGGTATATATATATATATATCCCCTCCATCTCTGATCCCCCTTATTCCATTGGGGAAAACAAAACATGCACCAACCATATTCACTAGCTACGTGAAAAATTACCAAAGGGTATTTTCCCCGCACGGTGATGGATGGAAATGCGGAGATAACATGATTTGACATGATTTGACATTACTTATTGTATGATCTTACCCTCTGGTAAACTAACAGTTTGCTATTGAAAATGGCCATTGAAATAGTGAGTTTTCTCAATTAAAAATGGTGATTTTCCATAGTTATGTTAGTTTACCAAAGGGTAACCACCAAATATGATTGGTGATATCACCAACAAACATGAGAAATACAACTTCAACGATATCGAACTGGCGCTGTACTGTATTGATCAGTCCCTGCATCACTGTCACCGATGCTCCTTGGCAATGGCTCTACCCGAAACTGTGAGCTGGAGAGACTGCGATGAGAGTTGAAGAGACAAACAACATGCAAACCATCAAACAACATGCAAACGGACCGTTTTGAATGCACTTCTATCCAATGTTTTTAGACGGTTCACCTCCTTAACCTACAAATCCTACAATGCTTCAAACACTCTGGATATGAGTATATTCCCTTCCTACTATCCATCATTCCAGTGACGTCGCGACGTGAAGTCTTCATAATTCATCCAGATATGTTCATGCGAAATATTCCAGCAATATCGAAATATATCCCCATACCATGGTTGGCTTATCATCGATCTCCCAGCACCCTGCAATCACAAGACCCATTCATCGATCTCCACTGTCCTCAGTGGTCTTTTGCGTGTGTCAGTGGCTTTGCTGAATGGAATACCTACAGGAAACCCTGGTTGGAAAACCAACATGATCTTCATCATAGATTCAGAAGATAGTCAAACTTCCCCGAACTTCTGGATACTTTAGAATCAGGTCAGATCCTCCATACTTTGGACCCTGCCGCATCCAAACGTGCTTATAGCTTTGTACTCAAACAAACAATGACCTCAGATTTGGTGCTTTGTTGAAATGGCTTGAGAGTACACCACATTGCCAATTTCGGATACCCTGTCTGCTTAGCATATGCAGCCATTTTAGAACAACAATTTTTCCTTGGGAGATGTTGGGATCAATTTACCTCTCACACGGCGATTTAGCATGATTTAGCCATATATCATTTTGCCCTGGTTATATAAACGATTAAACTCCCAGTCTAGTACCAGCATGTTTAAGCACACACCTCGTTTTCCATGGCAAGGCTCATGCTGCCATCCTTTTGGATTCGTCCAATAATTGGACCTCAGAGTGGCCAGAACCACCACGGTTACCAGGCTTGGGAATGGCTTGAGGCCGGCGCCAAAGAAATAGCTAGCGAACCACGTGGTTTTCGTAACATAGCGAACTGGAAAATCACCATTCTTGGTGAATCCTGAATACATGGGCTCTTTTTTTTCCACATATGTTAGTCTATTGGAGGCTACCCTCCAACTGAATACACGGCATAGATTCGATATAGATAGACATGTTTTTAGCCCATGAAAATCCACCATCGGATAATTTTCCTTGTGGAACCATTGGCTTGCCATATCTTTGGATTTCTCCCAGCTCAATGGTAGAGTATCACTATGGTAACCATGGGATCAGGGGGAAATTTTCATCGATCCACTGCTTGGATGGATAGTTTGTGATGGTTTATGAAAACGTTGCAGAAACCATCCCATTTTGCTGCCTTTCTGATACTTTTGAGATGGTTAACCATGGTTAACCTGCAGTTGACTAACAGGTTTTAACTTTAACCATACCCTCCGGCAGCTCCATGGCTTGCTGGAAAATCCCCCATTTATATAGTTCGATGATTGGGTCCCAATTGAAAGCTCCACTTCGAGGGAGTTTTTCGAGCTGGGCAGTCAATTTATCGTTACTCCTGGACATCTGGAAATGAGTTGGAACGTCATCTTACCTGGTACCCTCTGGTAAACGTTTACAGTTTGCGAACTTGAACATGGCGTCGAAAAAGTTGATTTTCCCATTCAAAATGCTGGATCTTTCCACCTCCAGATATGACCAGATGGCCAGTCCTGATCCCCTGACGCCCTTTGCGCCTGCAAGGTCCAGTTCAGGCAGCAGCAATCGGATCCTGACGTCAGATGGGAAACGGTTGGATGCTGATCCGATTTTTGATAGAGAATACTTACACTTCAAAACCGTCATGTAATACATTATAATACACATAATTATTGCAATTATGATAATACACAATATACATAGATACACTTCAAAATGAATCAACATGAGCTATATCTATATCCCAATCATATCCAGGAATTTGGGTGCTTTGAACAGCAAATGAGGAAAAGCACAGCAGCATCAACAGTTTAGCGCTAAACATTCTCAAGTTCTTTGGAGGATGCAAGCGTCTCAAATAGCTTTCGAGTTAGTTCTCTTACTTTGTATTCTTTTCAAGGCTACATTTTGGGATATCCCACAATATAATATAATATAATATAATATGATATTATATAATATAATATAACAATAAGCAGGATTGTCATTTTGTTTTGAACATGTCAACCTTCATCATACAGTGGGAGCCACAAACCACTCTCCACAACCAATCGAAGGACATTCCAGCAAACAGCAAACAACTTTGGGCCCGTGCTTCATCAAATGCGCTGCTAACCACAACCCGCACAACAAACAAATTCACAAAAAGGCGGACACATGGACACATCACCTTGAATCGATTGACCAGCTATATGGCAAATGAGTTACATACGTTGCTTGTCTGTGAATTATTTATATCATGGCCAAACCTTGGTTTCATGCCAAGAAGGCAAGAAAGCGGCTATTGTTCAGGATGATCTAAAGGCTATCTGTCAACTGTATGCCAATCATTGAGGAAAACAGACTCTATGCTTCCATCTCATGCTGACAAAAATATCGTCCATTCACCAAACCCAAGATATGCACTGCGACAACATGGATGCACATTTTTTTTACGCAAATACAACTTCTTACTTGCTCAATAAATTAGCGAAAGTAGATCATGAATCATGATACATGTTGTAATATGTTGTAATCATGTATACTCCGTTATACTTTGTCATACTTATACTATTGAGTATCTATGTGATAGAAATGGATGATACCATTACATAAATATCACGACATCTACCATCTGGTTATTTAATATAGCATTGAACATGGCCCGTAGAAATAGTTGATTGCCCTATTAAAATTGGTGATTTTGATAGCTATGCTAGTTTACCAGAGGGTATAATTTCCATCATCCGTGTCACCTCAAACAACGCCCGGCTTCCAAGGCGCACCGTTTGGGGTTGGCATCTGCCGTGCAGCAATAGCCATCCACCTACCGTCCGTGGCGGCTGCGGATGGAACATTTGTTTGTCCCAAAAATGGCAATATCCGGTAGTCATAGGGATTTCATAGGGACATTTGTATATAATGGGATACATCACCATCAACCAAAGGCAACCAACAATATGATAGTTGGGTAAATGGATGAGACCCCAAAACGGTAATTTTTCGTGACATGTTCATGATTGATCGTGGGAATTGGGGATACCCCTAGTCTCAGATTTGTCAAATTTGAAACATCAAAACTTGGAGGCTTCACTCATGTTCAATACTTGCTGCAACATTTTGGGGGACCTATTCGGACCTATGTATGATTTGGATTTGTTTTGACTAGCGGTCATAATATCACAACTTGGCCAAGTCATCTCAATGATTTTTTTTCGTCTTTTAGGCCCCCCCCAAAAAAAAATACTTTTTTGCGCCCGGTTTGAGGATGCTGTCGCATGTCCATGGAGTCCATGGCTTCGCCAAGCTACTGATTTGGCCAACCTACTTGGGCAAACTCACTCATAAACTCACAATCAACCATGTAATCTGTAACATGTAATCAACATTAATCAAACTATAATCAACATTGATCAAACCATATCAGCAACCATATCTGGTTGGTGGTTGACCTACCCCTCTGAAAAATGATGGACCTTGTCAGTTGGGATGATGACATTCCCAACTGAATGGAAAGTCATAAAATTTCATGGTTCCAAAACACCAACCATTTTTGGTATACCACCTATCATCCCATTAATCATCTATAAATGGGTACATCATCTATAAATGGGTCATTTTCCATAGCCATGTTAAACAACCAGAGGGTGTATGTAAAATTCATGTTCCAAGCCACCAACCAGAAATGGAGGTTTCCTAAGTCATGGGGGAACCTCATTTCATCATCCATTTATAGATCGGATTTTCCATGAACTAAACCATTGGGGTATCCAACCAGATACCCTCTGGAAAACTAACATAGCTATGGAAAACCACCATTTTTAATGGGAAAATCCACGATTTCTATGGCCATTTTCCATAGCTATGTTAGTCATTACCAGAGGGTATGTTCCATGATTTTCCTTTGAAACTTAGTTGGTTCAACTTTGTGCGGAAAAGCCAATAAACCATCTCCATAAACCTACCATAAATATCACAAATGGGTAAATATCATACGACGACATGGAAAATCCAGACCTCAACCATGTTCCACTCAAACGCCCGCCTCGAAGCCGCGCTTGGCTCGTAGTTTTCGCCCTGCTTCCTGTCACAGGCGAACGATGGTGACATGTTTCTGTTTTTTCAAAATGATGATGAACAAAAACATGATTGTTCATGTTGATTAATGATTCATGATGGTTCATGATGATTCATGATGATTGTTGTGATGATTGTTGTGATTGTTCTGATTGTTGATAACAATTCTGTGGCAAAGCCAAGAATATTCACCTCCTAAACCCCCTTGGGATGGTTGGGTTGGTTGGATGGATTCTTATTGGGATTACCACATTAGTGGCATTTTTTCCAAGAAAATATGGCCAGCTATATGGTACGTTTACGTACCTCCATGTATTGGATCCTGAAATTCCCATTGACATTTTATGTCTACCCGGGGATTTTCCCACCTCCCTTGCAGTTTTCGTCGCAAAGGTGCGTTTTAGTAGCATCTAGGAGCAAAGTATCACTATTTGGGGGTAATCGGGGGTTGACACTATAAAAACAAGCAGGATGGGGATGTAATCAGGATATTAATGGGGGTGCAGTGGGGTATCACTACAGGAAGGACCCCCCTAGATTCCTAGGCAAGTAAGTTGGTATTTATAACTAGGTCAATGGGATCCAACTGGGATTGAAGAACGTATTTACAGTATTCTACAGTGAATCCACGGCTTTCCTTTGGTGCCCTTGAATCAATTAATCAACTTTCCCGAAGACGTCACCTTGATGCTGAACTTGTAGCCAATTCGAATGTGAAAGGCTGCACCGTCCGTCTCATTTTGGACATTCGAAGAAACTTTGTCAAAGATGTCTTCATTGCCCAGGATTGCTTGTGGCCCATTTTCAACGACGGGTGCTGCATATTGTGTCAGAGCAATGGCCAAAGAGTCACCATTGGCTTTGGCCAAAGTGTAGACGGTGTCAGCTTCGGCTTTGGCCTTTGGGTCTAAGTTGGTTGGGTTTCTTCAAAAACCCATTTATACCTGGGGCCCCTCGCTAAAGCTGAAAGGCTAGGCAGGTCAAACACGGCCACTTTGTGCCACAAATCGGGATGATTTTGGGGTCTCCCATTTTAGGACACCCTCAAAACTGTTTTGATGATGAAATCACCCATTTTGACAGTTGAATCCCCGCTGATGATAGCAACACTTCCACTGAAAACCCAATGGTTTCTACCCCAAACAGGTCAATCCCGGTCGCCTGCGCCAGCCGACCTTGTGGCAGCCATGGCTGGTGCTTTCACAGCATTTACAATCATATAATGTATTGTCATGTAATTGTAGTTAAAGAAACATCGTTCCAAGTTGGATCATTGTTAGGGACCATTTTTCCAAGTTGCACATTTTATTGGAAGACAACACTGGTCTCAACCGGGGAAAAAAACAAAAAAAAACCATGCGATCAGAGAGGTAATGGTACTGGACAAAAGAAGGCCATTTCAAGCCGTCCAGCTTGGCGCCGTTGGCCTCCTGGGACTCCTGGCCATCTCACCAAGCTGAGACCGCAAGGATAAGGAACAGATGGTGGACCAGTAAGTTCCATGCACGTTGGCATCCAACATCTGCGGGAACCACCGCTGGTAGGGACAAAATTCCACTGGCCGTCTACTCCAAGGCAGCACAGGACAGCACAGGACGGCAATTGTCCGAGTCGATGCCAATCAGGAACGCCCGTCAGCCAGATGCCCGGGTGGATCTGAGTCCTTAGAACCAACCAGGGAGAGTTATCTGAGTTCTGCGGTACATATCTGCCTCGTGCTTGGCATCGTCCATTGCATCTCGTTTCCGGAATAGCTTGACGACTGCTTTCCTGCCATCCTCGCCAGTCGACCACAGTGTAAGGGCCAATCTTGAACTTTTTTGGCCTTGAGTCAGCGCCCTCAGGATTGGGACCGTGGACCGTGGACCATGGACCTTGAGCTTGGCTGGTCTTCCTGCACTTCGGGGTTGTGGTCATCCTTGTGAGGCTCATGCGGAGGGGCTGCCCACAAGCACTCGTACTTCAGTAAGCACTCGTCTAGATCAGGCACCGGGAAAGGACAAAGTTTAAAACATATCTGCACCAATCATTCCCCCTCTATCTTGGGATTTGAACAAACAAGACGTGAGCGATTATGAGCGGCGAATCCTCATCCCCAGTTGAGCTGTTGAGCTGCTTCAAATTCCCAAGACATCCCAAGACATTTTCACATTTCTTGGTTGGAATTCTCTTTGAATCTCCAATTAGCGCGTTTTTTTGCAGTAGAATCTCATGGAATCCCTCAAGGCCCCAGTTTGAACACCTACAAATCCTGATCTTTGTTGGTTGGTTTTGCATTCCCCCCTTATTATGAATCTCCATTGTTGATATTTTCGTTGGCTGGAATCCCATAGAATTCCCCCCCATACAGCGGGTTTGTCTGAAAATAGCGTACCCCAAATACATTGGTTAATCATCATTTTCCGGAACCAAAAAACATAAACTGAGATGTTTCAGACACGTACAACATATCCATCATATTGCTATATCTCCTTACATTCCATATTATTCCGGAAACGAACCGTGAACCGGGAACCGAACCGTTCAGGAACCGGCAGGCTAAGAACCGCAACGAACCGAACCGCCAATTATTCTTACGCAAACCGAATGGAACCGAACCGGTTCCACATTCTCAAAATTAATTTTGTCAGCTTCCGAGGGGTCCGAAAATGATTTTCGCGAATTGAAAATCAAATTGGAAAGAGGAATCAACTGTAATGAGTGGATTCCTGCGCAACATAATCTGCCAAGGTGCAGCAGGAATTGCACATGATCAGTGCTGGCTGCTACTACTGCTACTAATGAAACTACTGAAACTACTGCTACTACTGCTACTACTGCTACTACTACTACTGCTACTGCTACTGCTACTACTGCTACTACTGCTACTACTGCTACTACTGCTACTACTTCTGCTACTGCTGCTACTGCTGCTACTGCTACTACTACTAATTGTAGTACTGCTACTACTACCCGTACTACCCGTACTACCCGTACTACCCGTACTACTACGACTACTACTAGTACTGCTAATACTACTACTACCACTACTACCACTACTACCACTACTACCACTACTACTACTACTGCTACTACTGCTACTACTGCTACTACTGCTACTACTGCTACTACTGCTACTACTGCTACTACTGCTACTCCTACTCCTACTGCTACTGCTACTGCTACTGCTACTGCTACTCCTACTACTACTACTACTACTACTGTTTTTCCACTTTTTGCCAAAACAACTCCGAAAATGATTTTCGCGCAGTGAAAATCAAGCTAAGGAAAACATCTAATAGTATTCGTACTAGTACGGCTAGACTACTACTGCTGCTACTATTACTATTACTGTTGCTATCACCACCACTACTGTTGTATATTATATTACTACCTCTATTACTAGCCTCTCTGC